TTGTGAACCCAGCATTCATTCCTGCCTGTGGAAGGGGGTCAGGCTAGATGATCTGTTCAGGTCCCTCCTGACCCTAGCTTCTATGAAACTATGCAACTATGAAACATGTCTCAATGGCACAGTACCATACATCAAGCTACAGCCCACTTCAAAGAGAACAGTCTTGCTCAGAAAGCCAAAAGAATGGCAGAGGAGGAAGGAAAGCACACAGCACTCTGGCCAACAGCTGTGCCCCCCACAAGGTATCACCTGTCATGTTTATGGAAAAAATTGCAGAGCACAGATTGGACTTCTCAGCTATTTTAAAACTTACCAATAATCCCCCCAACAGATATCATCCTCATACTGAGGGATAACCAAAGATGGAAATGAAGAGATAAATAGGCAAAAGAGTGCTGCTCAACAATGTTTTTGTGTGCTGAAACTTGCAGCAGTTTGGAACAATTTAAAATGTATCAAATCTGGATGAATTTACCTATAGGCATTTGCACATATGCAAATTACTCTGTGTATTTATTGTGAAATAAGTGTTTTTTTGGTCCCTTGCATTTCAAATGAACAATGGGGGAAATGGGGACAAGCAAATGCTACAGTTTGGAGTCTGGCCCTGAGTCTGGGTCAGGGCCAGAGCTGGACCCAGAGCAGTCTCCTATTCCTCTCCACTTGCCCTCCCCTCTATCCCTTTCCCCCACTTACTGTCATATACAGCTCATTTACTTTGCCTTCCACGCTGTGCTCAGGGAAGGAACAGAGCCTGAGCAGGGTCTGGTAGTAAGGAGGAGCATGAAGACAGGATGGGGAAAATGTAAGGTAAGAAGGGAGGAAGTGGGCAGAGGACAAAGGGACCACTTGACATCGCCCAGCCACTATTTTCCCTGCTATAGCAGTGGGAAGGGGATGAATTCAAAACAACCTTTCAATAATTAGATTCTACACCTGAAAAATAGTACCAAACTTATCAAATTTCCATATATAGAATCTAATTATTGGGATCATCTTATATTTGTATAAATCTAGTAGATGCCTACAAATCAAAATGAATACATTGAAAAAAGAGGCAGAGAAAACTGAATCCTTGAAACTGCCTATCTGAGTTTGCTTAACACCAAACATCTGCAGGAAGAACCTGGTGGGTAAGAAGCAAGTCTCCCACTCATTGCTCTTGTGCTCCAACCAGGTCAGCCTTTTGTATCTATATTAGCTTTTTTGCACACATATTTCACTTAGTCCTTTACACACCAATGACCAGGGATCCTGGTTTTCTCCGATTTAAAAAAATTCCCAATTTTCAGTTAAAAAAAGTAACCCTAAATCCACATTTGTCAATGATCTAAATGAAACACCCCGGGTCACGAGGGAGGGAAGCAGGGCAGCAGGAACAGCACGCCACTGTTCCCTGGTGCCCTGTTTCCCCCCAGAATGACCCTGCTGGAGCTGCTCTGCAGGCTGCCTGGGGCCACATGCGTATCTATGCACATGGTGCCCCCTATCTTTCACCTTTCAACTCTGCCAGCTTGCAGAGAGCTTACTACAAAATGGCAAAACCCACGGGTTTCTCTGGCAAAGTGAGAAATGCGCTTTTGCCTCTCATAAAAGGCAAGACCTGCAGTTTACTCCGTTTTTCCATGGGAACCAGAAAACCCAGATCCCTGTTGATCACCCTCCCCAATTTGATCTCAAAAGCCATTTCTACTTTTTCCCCCCTCCTGCAAATCTCACCTCATCTGCAAAACCTAGAAGGATTACTGAACATAAAAGGATCATATATATAAATTTATCAGCATTTATGTTTGAATGTTCTCATTGGCTTGCACCTTGTGTGTAACCCCTTCAGGCCTACTCCTGTAATATGCTACAGGAATCTTGTGAACCAGGGCTACATTAGCTTTTTAGGACCAGGAACACACTTATATAAAGCCTAACACAATGAATTCACAAATTTAAGAGCAGCTTCAGGGTAATAGAGCATCTTAAATATAAAATGTTCTTAAAATGGAAGATGCTGATGGAAAACAATCAGAATGAAAAAGTCATTCATGTCTTACCTTTACCAGCTGCTTTATCCACATATCTGAAAAGAAATATAAAAGTAAATTTAAATGGTATGTTATGTAACGTGGCAGGAAATGCACAGCATATAAATTCTCTAAATTAAGGTATGAGCTCAACTTCCAGACTCTTTGACTCTTGCACAAAAAAAAATAAAAAAATTAAAGTGTTCCTTTGTGGAAATTCTAGTTATCTTCATTTAATAAAAACATTTCATGAAAGGACCCATCCCCCATGGCATACAATCAGTAACTTTCTCAAACTGCATGCTTTGTGTGCTAAGAGGATAACTCTTATGGCTATAAATGCTTGTTTACATAAGTAAATTCACTGCAATTGCTCACATAGGTATGAAATCTAACTTAAACTTTATCTATATGAGAAAATTGTGCCAGGTTAAGTGTTTTCACAGACATTTAAAGCTAGTCAAGCTCTTCCAATCTTACTCAAGCAGCTGTTGCACCCAATTCAGTGCCTAGCAATTTGGTTTTTTGCAAAGCCAAAGTTGCAGCCTTATGAGACAATCCAATCCAAGTCATGTCTGAACATAGACATATATACTACAAACAAGTTCTGATAACTTCGAAGGGTTCAATAGATATTTTTATTTTCATAATACTTCCTTGCAAGAGCTTTAGTTTAGTGACACAAAATGCTAGGTAGGAGAAGGGAATGCAGCTCCTGTTTGAAGAGATACAGAAAATGAACTTGCAAAGATAGAATATAAACTCCATTACAAATTTTTATCTAAAGTTTACTGTTAGATCTGTAAATACTCAATTTACCTGACACCAAAGATGACTCTGATTTAAGGCAACCTGCCAATTATCAGATTTTACACATGGAACATTCATATATTACTTATAATTTTCTATGTACAGGATATAATTATTGAAGAGTTGTTTTAAATTAATTCCCCCAGCAGTGGCAGGGGAGCAAGCAATGTTGGGGGAGCAGTAAAGTGCAGGCAGTGTGGGAGGCAGAAGAGAACAGCAGGTGGGAAAGTGATAGATGGGGCTTGCCCCTGCTACCTGCCCCCCACTGCTTCTGCTCCCCTGTAGTCTCAGATCCCTCCACTCCCCCTCATCACTTACCCTTGCTCTGGTGCCAGTAGGCTCCATTCCTGCTCCAGCCTGGGGCACAGAATATGTTCAGGTTCTGATCCAAGCCCAGCCCCAGAGCAGTGGCGTGGCAGCTCTGATCCCAGCTTTAAGGCCCAGCCCAGGCTGGGGTTGGAGCAAGCACATCCAGCAGGGCCAGAGCCAGAATAAGAATAAATGGGGGAGAGGGAGGGAGCAGCAGTAGTTGTAATTCTGACCCCAACCCTAGGCTGGGGCCAGAGCCCTGGAGCCAGAGCTGCAGCAGCTGCCTCCCCTCCCCCCCACACACCAACTTATGCTTGAATCCAAGATGAGGGGCTTTCTGCCCACCCCATGTTAAATGGAGGGAAAAATCTTGCCTTGAATTTGAGTAAATATAGTAAATCAGCAATTTAGAATCACAGCCTTAAAGTTTAGAACCTAGGTCAGCAGAAAGGAGGGCTGAGGGGAGACTGTTCTCTTCCTAACACTGACAAGCTCCTGACACAAATTTGGGTAGCCGCTGAAACTTACTTGTATATAAGTTCCTCCCTGAACAGAGTGAGAACATCTGGTGTAGAGGTATGTTGTAATGCAACGTTTCAAAGCACATTGAGATCACTTGTTGAAAAGTACAAAAGGCTACAACATTGGATAGTCCCTTTAGAGTTTCATGGAACAAGAAAAAAGTTTAAAAAAAACTCCCCAACATGGCAGGAACATTAACCCAGATTCACAGGATGGGGACTCTAGTGGACCAAACTGGGTGTAGCACCTGAAATGCTCTGTCACATACTGAAACGTGGAAAGCTGATTAGAAGGGTGATGATGTGGCCTGGTTACATTTTAGGAGCAGTAAAGTAAGTGCCCCTTTTGGGCCTAACTTTACTACAAACCTCTGCTAGCTTAGCTAACCATTTATAAATGTGAGAATGTGCAAAAAGCCAAAAGGCTTAGGTATGCCAACCAAAGCCCCTAATGTTGGGAATAGCAGAACTGTGTTGTTGTTAATATAGCTTGGATGCCTCACAGCAGTACAGTTTTATCAGGATAAGTTGAGTCTAAACTTGGACCAGCCTGTCAGTCTAGTACGCCAGTGCAGCAGAGCCAGCAAAGCATGATTTAGGCCTGAAGGGCTTTTGAACACAGAGTATAGTATGGAAATGGGGGAATCTGCACTGATAAGCCATTAGTTAAGATGGTGTTAATTAATGCCAGGTACTTAGGCTCAGCAAGCTCACTCTTCCTTGCCTAAATGCACAAAAATGTGAAGAGCTGCAACCTGGGTTAAACACTTCATCAGAAAATTTTGCTGTTTAGATGAGCAGGTTGAGCTAGCTCACTTCAGCACAAGAGCCCCTGCATATTTCAAGAGTTTACCAGGGTTAACACGGCAACTTTCAAGTAGCCCCTGCCGGAGGTTTTCCAACCGTTTAGCTGCAAAGCACTGCGGCGGCTGCAGCGCCCCGTCCATCTCACGGGAAAGCCAGGCTGGGAGGGAGGCAGACAGCGCGGAGGTGGGGGCAGGCGCGGCCAGGCCGCACTCAGAGCCGACGGGCCGGAGCTGTGCACAGTACTCACGCGGCTCGCGGGGTCCCCTTCTTGCCGGCGGCTGCAGCGGGCGGCTCGGCGGGTGGGTCGTGGGGCGCGCGGGCGCCGGGGCTGCTCCGGCGGCGGCGGGG